ACGCGTCGCCGCGGTCCCTCGGGGGGGGGGGGGGGGAGACGGAGAGGCTATAATAAATCCACCAATTTAGTGTTGAGTTCGCGAGATGTGACAAAGAGTTACGGTGAACCCGGAAGGTCAACCCCATTGTATCTGTAGTGTCGAGTGGTCGCGTAAGCAGAGCTGTGCCCGGTGCCCGTAAAAGCTGCACGCTAAATGAATTTGTATGTTTTTGTGCCAAAGTTCGTGCTAAGTTAAACCTAAGTTTAGTTAACGTTGTGATCAAAAGTGTTACGTTCAAATGAATGCACACAAGTGTGTGAAATATATCTGATTTCTTAAATGTGTGCAAATAAAATAAGATACACATCAAGTTAGTGTGTGAGAGGGGAGAAAATAAGGGAGATGTGAAGAGTTTACATTTATTATTTAACATAGTAGTATAAACTAATTACGTATATATGCGGTGCTTAATCATGTTAAAGTAATACACTAACACACTGATCAAGGGACTGGTTCTATCAAAGGTTTGATGGGAGCAGTTTTCGAAATATTCATCTACATGGTTATAAAGTGAAAGATACACTTATGAGCAGTGAGGGGTGCAACGGTGCAACCAAAGGTGCAACACTAATTACAAACAAATCACAAGCCTCAGTAAAATCTTATAGAATATCACAGGCAAATCTTGTAAAGGTGGGATAAGTTCAACAATAGATTTAAAGGGGAGTTAATTATATTATTACAACACAAGCAATGTTGCGATCTCATTTTTGAGTAAACGTCAAATTTAATAGTAATGTGCCAAGAAGCACTTGGGGTTTTTATTTTAACTATCTACTTTGGACTTTCGCCATGAACACTTTCGTAGCCTTTTATCTTTTTTCAATGAAATAAATTTATTTGCATTTTTCTCGCTAAACTGATCGCCGTATCACTGCAGTTCTTGAGATCTCCCTAGATTTCTCGATACTGTAAATAAGTCCCACTTACTTCTACCTATAGCCGTTGATATAACCTTTGGGGAACCCTTGAAATCCTAATCAATTTTACTGCTAGTTTATTAAAAAATCCCCAGAGAAATCCTAACGTTTAGCAACAGCAGAGTCCAAGACCACACAGTATAACTATCAGGCAACAGAAAATGCCTTGGCGCAGCCACACTAGCACCACAACTCTGTTAAAAATACGGTAGGAATGTTACAGTTGTGAGACTGACATTTTTTTAGCAATAATATATACAACAATCAGAGACATAATGGAATAAAAGAACCTACCAATAAATAACAAAAACTACAACGTGCGATAACAATACTACTGACTCTCTTGCCACCCCCACTCTTTTGATCACCACCTCCTCTTTACTTTGCGAGTAGAGAGACGTGCTATTTAACGCAGGATTGTTTACATAGCGAGCTGACGTCATTGGTCGGCCGCCCCGCGCCACAGAACGACAGAAAGGGAGAGAGAGAGAGAGAGAGAGACGCGGGCCAGCCACACATGCGGGGCCACCATTTATCAGGGTCGCATCCGCCATCCATCTCAGCGATTGCCAAATTCTTAGCGGCAAGTGTGAAGTGAGGCGACAGTTCTCCAACAAACAAAAGAGTAGAGCGTAAATTTTGGCGACGGAACAAAGTTAAAGTTCCCTTGGGAAAACCGGAAGGAGGGGCCACCCCTCTCCTCCCCTCCCGTCTCCTGTTTCCCGATACTCGATCGCTTTCCAAAATAAATACATCCAATAACAGGCGCGCACGCGTACAGCGTACAAACACAGACTACACCCACGGACGAGATAGGGTATATAGTATTATTTTTTTTATTATTATTATTATATTTGTTCGGTTTGTCTGCGACCACCGGAAGGATCGTTAAATGAATACGCACCGCCAAAGGGAAACAGGACACTGGAGCACCACCTGTCTCCTATGTTATAACAAGTCTCTCCCTCCCCCATCCCCCTCCCCTCCCCTGAGAGTTGTTTCCCGGCCGTCACTCCAAAGCCAATTAGATTCCCGAGCCGAGACCGCCTGCGGACCGCAGTCCCGAGGCCGCCGTGAGGCCGCGGGGGCTTATTGTACTCTGTCGGAATTTATTTCTGTCGCACAACATCGCCGGCGGTAATTAAATTTCCAGCTCAACACGGAGCCGGCCGAGCGCGAAATGAAGCAGCGGCCCGGGCTAATGGACGCCACTGTCGGGGGTGGCGGGCAGCGCAGAGCGGAGCAGAGCAGCGACAACAAACAAAACAACAATGTATATTTAATCTGCTGCCTGACGATAATGATGTTTCCGTTTCATGGGACAAGTAAAATCAAGAAATCACCGACTTCCACCTAATTTCTTTCATGACCTGCACAAATAATCTCGCACGAACACTGAAGATACCCTAATTTTAAACTAGTACAACGTTTCTCCTTATTGATTGCAATATATCCTACCTAACTAATGCCCCCTTATTCTCTCGTCTGGTCGTTTGAAACAGGGTTGATCCGATGAGAAATTACTCGAAACTAATCGAAGCCCTGTTCCTCACTCTGGACATGCAGTGCAGACGTGCGCTCGCGTTTGACACACTCTGCCAGACGCTCTTTGCGACGCGACACTGAACCCTCTACCTTTAATTAATTGACCCCGTACAGCGGGGCCTTGTGCGCGGCCAGGCGACGCCACGCCCGCCGCGCCCCGCCGCGCCCCGACAGAGCTTGGACGGGGACCAACGCTAACGTCTGCCATTTGCCGCCATGGCGCGGAGGCGCGGCGGTGGTGGCGCGGCGGTGTACCTCGGCCACCCGACGGCATCCCGACGGCCTCGGGAAGGACGCCGACGGACTCGTCAGCCTGACACTTGTTGCACACGCCGCCGAGGATGGAAGTGTTGGAAGCTCCCACCCCTTCGTGCCGCACAATCACACACACCCACACGCACAGTGTGCTGGACTTCCGCTCGGTCAGCGACAGGGAAAAACAAAACCGGTGCAGCCGGTGGCCGCCCTCGGGTGGCGCCGTCAGCGACAGGGGATAACGGCGAACAAGTGAGCCCGCTCCACGGGCGCTGCCCGGGACCGCGGGGGAAGCCGCCGTCACTTGGGCGACATCATGGTGACGAACTCGTCGAAGCTGATGAGGCCGTCGCCGTCCTTGTCAGCCTCGGCGATCATCTCGTCCACCTCGGCGTGCGTCAGCTTCTCGCCCAGGTTGGTCATGGCGATGCGCAGCTCCGTGGCCGTGATGTAGCCGTTGCCGTCCTTGTCGAAGACCCGGAACGCCTCGCGGATGTCCTCCTCCGTGTCGCCGCTGCCCATCTTCTTGGCCATCATGGCGAGGAACTCGCTGAAGTCGATGGTCCCGGAGCCGTCCACGTCCACCTCGTTGATCATGTCCTGCAGCTCGGCCTCGGTCGGGTTCTGGCCCAGCGACCTCATGACGTAGCCCAGCTCCTTGTTGGTGATGGAGCCCGAGTGATCCTTGTCGAACAGGTTGAAGGCCTCGCGGAGCTCGGCCGTCTGCTCCTTGGACAGCGCCTCCGCCATGCTCGACACCGGCTGTCGCGACGCACGCGGCTCGGTACGCTCCTAGCCCGGCATCGCCTCGCCTCTCGCGGAGGGCTCCTGGCGCGTTATCGCTGGCTAGCCGCCGGTCACTGTGAGGCAAGGGGCACCCTGCGAGAGCGAGCGGCAGCCGCCAGCGCCCAACCCCGCGCCAGCCCGCGCCAGCGCCAGCGCGCCAACCCCGGGGCAGGGCGGGGCGGGGCCGGGCGCCTCTCCCACCACCACCACCACCTGCACCGCCCGCGCCGCCCGCGACCCGCTCCGCCCCCCGCAACGTCCCGCTCCCGCGAAAATAAACCCACGTTTTGCAAATGTCACAGCGCCACTTTATTTACTACATGAGACCGCCTCGCTGCGCCGCGCCAATACTCCTCGCGCCTGATACCCCTACCCACCACACCCCTCTCCTCCCCGGCGAGCGGCGGTGGTGGCGGCGAGCGTCGCGGCGCCTGTACTACGCGTCGCGGTCATCGCGAGGTCTCGCCGTTTCTTTCGCACTCTGCGTGGCTATGGGCCGGGTCTCTCTCGCTCCCGCCCGCCGTTGGGTCGTGGGCCGTGAACCGAGCAGCAGAAGCGAGCGGTCCCTGCTGCAGCAATAATTGGTCCTCACGATCAATTAG